CACGCAAAAACAAGAAGTTCTACAATTTTCCTATAAACAAACTTTGTATCGCTAAAATACTTAAGGCAAAAACTTTCTATTCCAACTGAAAACGGCGTGGTAGTCGCCCGCTGATCGTTATTAATCCACTCCCGAAATATGGCTAAATCAGCTATTAACAAGTTATTGACAGAAATCCTCTACGGCATCGAGAAACTGATTTACATCCGATTTATAGACAAACACTAAATAAAGAACATTTTACTCAATAGCTACGCATCAGCAATGCATTCTATGCCAAACTTTGCGGTTCTTAATGGGGAATCAAGACACGAGTCGAGCGCCAAACAACAACAAGCAGCCATGTTCGTGTCAGACATCGTTGAGAAACTTGCTCTTTCACCTCGTTCAGCGCATCAGTCTCAACTTTAAATCAACAGATCTTTACTTATTTTGTACAACGAAGGTCTTTCCTAAGTTCCTGCTACCATTTCAATCTCAAGCAAGCTTTCAAAGTGAACAATTTAGTTCCTATGTCTATGCAGCACGGTCGCTGTCACTGGTCGCGTGCTCTCTGACAAGTCAGCGGTCGCGCATGCTCATGCAAAAAAGACCCCTGTTCGCTGATGGAGAAGTCTCGACCACTTTAAAATACGTGAGTTGCCGTCACAAGCTGTCAAATATTTCAAATAATAGGACTTTTTAGCATTCTTACCGCGTTGTTGCGTGCCCTCTTCAAATCATTCCAGTCGTTAGGGTCACCAGACCGTATGGCCTTTATTTTAAGTCGATCTCTGAAATGCATCATTTTCTTAAGCTCCGCAGGAGTTTTGGAACTACGAACGCGCTTAGATCGGAGGGGAGCATATACATCAGACATCTCTAGGAACAAAGTTTTCCATTTTAGCCACATTTCGTTAGGGTTATGTACTCCCTTGACATCATCCCATGATTGGGCTAAAATGTCAGAGCGAAAGCTATTACGATTGAAATTCTTAAATTGTCTATACACGCCAGGCAAACTAAGAGCGAAATGTGGCCTCGAGATATGATGGCATTACGGCCAGCGGTATTACGCGTGCAATTGAAGCGTTCACAAGATGGCCGCTAAGAAGTTCTATGATGTCTTCGAAGTCATTGAAAAAGTGACTGAGAGCGACGAGACTTACGAAGATGGAGATAGCTACGACCAGGGAGATCAAATTCAAGAGATAGTCCAGAGCAAAATGACCGAACTCGCAGAGGCTGCAGTGAAGTTGGAGCCTGCTTTGCAACCAAACATGAAATTGTTTGAGACTCATGCGGTTCGCATTATTTTACCTTGGTTACAGTTGTGCGCTTACCCTGAAATATCAAAAGTAGCATCAGCTGTGGATCAATTCTTCAGACTGAAAGCAGGCTATAGCTCAGATTAGCAAACAGGAGAATCGGTGGGCGTTTAAGGATCAGAAACCCATACTATGCAGAGATGAAGAGGGACCTTCATATGATGCTTACAGAGCTTTGGAGTTGAGTATCAAGAACCGTACTTTGGAACATTTTAAAGAACCTCACTGTGATATTGCAGGAAACAGGAAGGGAACTGTCATTGCTTTCACGTCGGAAAAGGGTGTATTACAACTGTTTACTATGCTTAGTGGGAAAAAGGAAGAAGAAGTGAAAAGGTATTTTCGGCGTTCATTGAAAAGGAGAGGCAAAGCTAAACTAATTTTGAACACCGACAAGGATTTTCGCTGATTTATAAGTTTAATAAAGGGCAGCTTATTATTGGTTTTCATTTTGGGGTTTGGAACATCAATGGTGTCCCCCAGCACACATAAACAAAAACCGTTTTATTGCTAATACATGTAGTTCTTGCAGTTGAAGGCTGATTAAGTTGTTATGTCAGCACAAGTTGTTTGAGAATTAAATTTTTGTGTCCAGGAGAAAACAAGTGAAGCAGGATTGTCATTCTAATCTCCATTGATTTAGGCATTAATCACTATTGATTTATCAAGAGGAGGGAGAAAGAATAAATGAAAGCAATGGTTTTTGACTCACAATAGGAGGAATACATCATGTATTACTAAACGGAATGAAAACATTCAAAACATATACATTTTTTTTGTTCAAATTCACGAAAACAGTTCTTGGGGTCCAAAAAAGGATAAATTTTCTTCTCCTGTTTGTAGAATACGTTGTCAATAAAATGTGTGGAACACCTTGTTTGGTGGGCAAACGAAATCCAGATACCTCATGTTTCAGATACATTGTCAAGCAATTGGCCATGTTTGAAGTAAGCAAAGGGACTGGATACAAGTTGAAAAAAACGATGGGGTTTGATTGAGTAGAAATAAAACATTAGTCAGAAATTCAGGGTTGTCAGAAAGTTTTGAAATAGACCGCTGAGTTGTCAAAGCGGCTAGTCCAGGGATATTTAATTAAAAAAAAAACACCATCCATAAAGAAATGCCAAGTAGAGTAGCTGGCCTATGCTAACCAAGTAGGCGGCGATTTTCGCTCGCAGCCGGCTACTTTTGACAACCCTGAGGGATTTGAGTGGTGGTTCCCAGTCCCCCTATCATTTAGATAATGGGTAAATTTCTGCCCCAGTAGGATACAGTCAAGCCTCACCCTGTAGACACCCCAAAAATCTGGACAGCAGCTAAATCCCTGGCAAAAATCAGTTACAGACATTTGACTATATTAATAACCCAACAGTATCTGTTATAAACAGAGTTGACTGTTAATACCTACCTGCCATGGACCACCAAATCAAGATTATATTTTCAGAACTTTATTTATGTGTTTAACATGGTACACAACTGCTAAACTGGCCAACAAAAAGGACAGTTTTTTTTTTTGGGGGGTAAGTTTAAGAGAATATCTAAGCTTTTAAAAAGTGATTTCAAAGACATTTCCTTCCCAAAGTTCTTTAACTTGTGTTTCCTTAAAGTTCCATGAATGATATGAAATTTGTTATTGTCTCAATATAATTATTATTATCTCCTTCATAAAGTTCTATGAATAATATAAATAAGGTTTCCTTAAAGTTGTATAAATAATGTAAATAACATTTCCTTCTTAAAGTTCTGTACATTAATATAACAATTAAGTAACAAATAATGGTAGTAACTGTTAACTGTACCGATTTGTACAAGGTAGGGTTAAAGAACGTACAATAATATTACTACTGTAACGGTTCTAACTGCATAGTTCCTTATACCAGTAAGAGGCATACAGTATTTTCAGTGATCTCACTGTTTAAGGATTGCATCCACGCTTGTTATTGCAAGTTTAGTGCACAAGTGCAGCCATGCAAAATGCATGTCTTAAACAACTAAGGATTAGGTTGCAAAGCAGGCTCGCATTCCACTGCAGCCTCTGCAAGAAGCTTCAATGGTCCCATTTCGTTATTCTGTACCATTCGTTCCATTGCTAACATACTTTTATGAACACGTTTAGTGATTTGGGTTCTGCATGGACTGTTGCAATATTCGCAGCACGTTTCTGCCACTTGGAGACCACGGTAACAATGACCACTTTGAAAAGCCCGTTTGGGAATGTACGTCTCTTTGTTAGAGCTGGCACTGGTTAAGTTGTAGCCTTTCTCCCGCAGCCATATAAGGGAAATAAACTCATGACGGAAAACTTGTTTCCAACGATTCAAGAAGTTTGTGTTCTGGGCATACCGGAAATTGCTTGATGTTTAGCTTCCCTACCCTCCATGGAGTTAAGGGCCAACCCCTTCCCATACATTTCAAACATCTCCCTGGTGTTAACAGGGACAACATGCCCAGTAAGGGTCCATACTTAGGGACCTTAGGGATTGACTTGGAGAAACAATGCGCAGGAAATAAAGAAATTCTAGCATGCTTTCTCAAGATCATCAAGCTGTTTTCTCTCAATTTGCTGTCTACAAAAAAGTGAGACAGCATCCCGTAGTGAAAGGCATGTGAAGGCAAAGACATGCAGTTTAAACTCAACAGGTTGTAAGTCTCTTTCACCCTTCATTGGTTTAAACAGGAACATAAAATTGTGCAGAAATCTACGTGATTCTCTCCCTGTAAAGCGGTACGAAAATGCCTTAGGATTTCCCTTTCCCATATCAAACCACCTGAACACCTCCTTCGCTAAGCGTGAAAGACTTGCCTCAGTTTTCAGGCTAGTAATAAGCCCGAAAAAAGGAGAGTGTGTACTTACTTTCTGAAACTCATTTACATTCTGTGGTAATTTGGATATTTCAATTGAAAATTCAAGGATTTGGGGAAAAAAAAGGGCACATGCATTATTTTTTAAGTGCAGGGGTTCAACGTGCGCTTTTTCAATCAGCTTGACAATTCTTGGAGCAAATTCTTGCCTTGATTACTTTTCTGCAATAAGTGAGGTTACCTTACACCGTTTAGTACTGGCACTTACGGTAGTCTTTGCCAGTTTGCTTTTCAACTCTTCAACTTGTTTGGCCACTTTTACACGTTTGCCATAGTCCCATGGTTTCCACTGGTTTGTATCAGCTCGCAATCGACCAAAGGTGAATTGCAAATTCGCCATATCATTATAGGTTATATTCCCAAATGATGAGAAATATTTGGCACTGTTACTCAATTCTCCTCCTAAGAAACACAGCATCTTCATGTCATTAGGAATTTCCGAAAATTCAAACTTAACTACATAGCCATTTATAGGGAAAACATTATCCTCCAGATAAGCTATATCACTGACAAGTCTGGTGACATACCTTTGCACTGCAATGTAGCTTTCAGAGCAGTTTGCCCCAAATATTAAAAAATTGTCATCACTGCTCAGGCAACGTTTTCCAACATTCAAAAAGCTGACAATCCATGAACAAGCCTCATCGTATTTCCCAAAAGGTGCGCCATCGCCACCAATGGCTACCTTGAAAGTGAAGGGCTTTCCAAACCAATTCATTGTTGGGGTACAATTTCAAATAAAATTCAGCTAACCGTGGCATAAATTCTTTTAAATTCCGAAAGTACCCATTAACTTTATCTGCATCATTGAGATCAAAACACAGCTCTTCTCTAACAGAATGTAGAGTGCCTATCAAGAAATTGAACAAGTTTGTAGTATGGCAAAAAAGCAGGAACATGGCAGTTCGCTACTTTTAAGCAAGAAAACTTTTTCCCCTTGGATAGTATCCTCTTAAATGAAAAGGAATGGCGCACTTTCATGTACTTCTTTTTGCCCATGACACCCATGCTATAGTAAACTGACACACTTCTAAGTATGTTCTCATCACTATTTTCATACACCTTGCACTTAGCCTTATGAAAAGTAGAATGAAATATTTTGCATGTGTATATTGACCTTCCCTTTATTCTTAAGGCGTGCTTTAAGTCACGAAAGTTTTTTGGTGTGACTGGTAACTCTCCGCGTCTTATTTTAATACGGTGAAGAAATACAGTTCTTAAAGAAATTCATCAGGCTAGTGAAGTTAAACAGTCGATTTAAATGTTCTTAAAACATAGCCAGTCTTAAAGGGACAGTGTCCCGATTGTGCACACGCGCAAGCGTCATCGGTTTTTTTCTTCAAAAGACAATAGAACTGTCATATTGTGTCGACAAGATTTCCTTCCGGACCGCACCGCCGACGGAGATTTGTTGTTTACATTCTTAAGTAATATTTTTTAGACTTTCGAAGAAGTTTTTCGTCTTATTTAAAATTTGGCTCGCGGCACGAAGACTCATCGCGATTTTGTCGCTAGAAGGGCCGCCTCGCGACCCGAAAATCTCGTTCTGCTCGCTTTAAAAACAGCTTTTCTGATCTGAAACTCGTGTCAGAGGTCAATAGTTCCAAGTCCAGTAATATTTGCCTGATTTGCTCGCGCTCTAGCCTCAAACGTTTGAAAGATATAAATAAAAATGCCATCTCAACGCGATGAATTATCGCAAAGGTTAGTCAGAAATTATATTATGATTTCATTGCACTAGTTTTTCTGAACATGTAGCGCTTGTTTGTTTGATTTTGTCGACCGCGCCGTAGGGAGGTTCATTTAAACGTTCACTAACGCGTCGTTGCAAAACATTCTGCTTCTTCACAAAGCTTAATTCCACAAGATCTACTCAGTCACATGTCTCAATGGTTTCTTTCTTACGAAAGTTCTCATCACTATTTTCATACACCTTGCACTTAGCCTTATGAAAAGTAAATGCAATTTTTTTGGCCAGCTTAGATTTGTTACATACTAATGAACTGACAAGTTTCTTGGAAAACTTGATGTCCAAGGTTTCTACCAGTCCAGTTGCAGCTGCCTCGTTACTCTCCCTTATGCCGCCATGGATTTCTGTGGCAGCATTATACGTCTCCAACACTCTTCTTCGCTTTACTCTCATTGACAGCTCATCAGAGGTGGGTTGCTTTCCTCTCCGAGATCTTGAAACTGAAGAGAGGAAATTTTCCTTTTCACAGCTGCTTCTCCCTTTATCTTGACGTCCTTCCTGAAGTACTGCAACCTCATTGTTAGCATTAAGAGCGACTTTCTGTAAATACCACGGATAGGTGTGCAAGATGGAAAAATCGAAATCTCCCAAACTTTGTCGCATTAAAGCCCTTATGAAACTGTTTAAGAAAATACAAGATTCAGTTTCTTGTGACTGATATTTTCCAAAATAATAATTTTTTTGAATTTTCACCTGCGAGAGGCCCTCAAACCACCGAAAAATGCCCTTCGCATCCTCGCATGAGGAATAGAAACGGAAACAAATACCATGACTATTGCGATATAAGATGATTTTATGACCCTTCCTTTGATTGAAAACGTTGTTATAATTTCAAAAGATTCCAGTCTGAATTTTTAATTATTTTTCAAAATCACCCTTTAAAACAGTTTTATCGCGACTATCAATTTTGCCATTTTTCAACGGCAAAAACCCCTTCCTGGTACATGGCTTTCGTTCTGCAAATGCTATTCCAGAGAAAGAGCAGTCCTTCTTCTTTCAATTTATGAAATAAAATTTTGGGGCAATTCAAACGGCAAGTTTTGAGAACTGAAAACATTAACGGTACTTGCGTGAAATTTACAACTTTTGAACTTGCCGTTGTAATGACGAATACAAGAGTAAAGTTGGACAGCAGTTTAAATTCTTCCGAATTTGATCCTTTTCCACCGGTTCAAAAACTAAAGAAACGATTATTGACTTCATAGTGGCAATTATCCGAAAGGAACAGCATTTTTATTGTGCGAAATTGAGCTGTGAACATCTTCACAACACTTCCCGTACATGCGTATTTGTTTACTTTGAAGCCCGACGACTTGTGCCAGTCATTATCGCAATTAATATTCTATAAGTAACAAGTATGCAAAATGTTCGCATTTCGTCTGAAAGAAATGGTGAAAGCAAGGACGGAAGAATGAGGCTAACATTTACTCACCTAGAATATATATATTTTTGAAAAAAGACCAAAGTCCCGCAGCTAAACTAGATTGCGTGACATTCTCTTTGACTAGAACAAGTAAGAAGGGGTGGGGGTTGGGGTTGGGTCCAAGGCAGGCAAAAAGTTCCCCAGTACTTCTGATTGACAATGTATTCTGAGCCATAATCGCTAAGAAAAAGCTGTGTAGGCTTTCCAATAATAATAATAATAATAATAATAATAAACTTGGGAGCAAGAGCCGATCTCTTGTTGGGAATAAAAAAAATCCCCAAATCCCAACCCCTCCCCCACCCAGTAGTTACTTATTGCCTGGCACAAAATAGTCCAGTTTCGAATTAATCGCGGCCCCTGAATAGAAGCACTGAAGACTCATTTATACAGGGTTAGCCTCAGCCCAAAGTAAAATATTCACAAATACCAGCTAGAAGGTGCCGGAATTTCAGTATAAAACAATAGACACAGTTGTATACAAGTCTGTGAATATATTTACCTTTGATCGAGGCTAACCCTGTACAAATGAATGAACGCCTGGGAAGAAATAAGTGATGGAATAAGGATCTGAAGGAATTTTCCGGCAGGGGATCCTGGCAGGCACAATTTTGAGCATCATACTATAACTGGGGCATCAGGCATAATGTTCGATACTGCAGTAGGAATATACAAAGTTGATAAAAGTCGTAGACCTGATTTCCCGCCACTTATCAGTTTTTTTCTTTGAAACGTAAAATCAAAGAATGTTGAGGATGGAATGTTAATTTGATTAGTCGGTACGGACCCTAACTGTTATGACAACTGCATGCCACGAGAAGTTCCCCAAGTAGAGACAAGTAAGGAGCTTTGCGTCGTCCTTTGATGTCCATCACCTCGATGTCAAAATGTTCGCAAATGGAACGCAGCATGGAAACGCTTAGGTGTCGCAGTTTACCTGCCTTGTGCATGTCACATAAGTTGAAAGTGTCGAAAACAATTGGGTGCCTTATTCCCACCTCCTCTAACACAACTGCGCGAACATTTTCGTGCGCGATTTCCTCTTCAGCGCCCATAACATCCTCGTCTCCATCAGATTCTGGATCTTCTGAATGAGAATGCCGGAGTTTAGAGGCTCGTCTTGAAAAGTATGACTGAATTTGCTGCTCGGTCAAAATTTCACTTACAGTGAACAGCTTTTCCCCTTCCTGGTTTCGCGCGTAACGCATGTCACGTGCAACATCGACAGCATCAAGTTTCACTCCGGTTGCTTGCCCGACATTAAATTTCCCGTCTAAGTACTGTCGCTGGGAATCACTAAACCGTGTTGCCTTTCTAGCGGATCTTAAAGCCCACCCTTGTGGAAGAACCTCAGTTGTTACCGGGCATTGACTTGACTCAGCTTTCACGGATGGCAGGTTGCTCGCCTCAGAGAGTAGTTTATCATGGTATAATACTTTGGCCTTGTCCATAAGAGTTTCTCTGACCGGTAGAAACTCACATTGCCTATACAGCAAGTGATTTTCCAAAGCATAGTGACGCTGATACATCTTAACACAACCCTCGTGCGGACAAGAAAACATAGCGCTCAGGTCTCGGTCTTCTTCCTTCTAATCTGGATGTTGTTCACCAGTCTCTTGAAAACTGGGTTTTGGCTTATCGACCGCCAGGGATACTTCTGAGAAGTCCCCTGAGGAAGACTGGCTCTCAAAGCTGGGCGGCTGTGAGTAATCTGGAACTAAAAAACCAAAATGAAAATGTAATACTATTACACAAGTTTCAGCTCCGCAAATGGAGAGTGTTTTTTGTTGTTGTTGTTGTTGTTGTTGTTTAGGGGTATTTCGCGCGAAGGATAAGTAATAGGTGGTAAACTAGAGTGTGGAGCACGAGTATAACTTCAATAAGAAAAGGTTTTTTTTTTTATCCCAGTGTGTTTTTTCTTGTCCCTGTTTTTTTCTTCTTCCTATAAAAAATTTCATGCCGAGCATGACGGCAGCATAGAAGGTTGTACTCCACATTTAAGGTTAAATATGTTGAATAAATGAAAAAACTTTTCCCCATTTGTTTTGCCTACCTGGTACCTTCTTTCCCTCGCCAACATTGTACGCTTTCCAAACAGTGACAGTTTTCTCAGAATACAAAAAGTTGTTTAAAGAGTTAACGCCAGACCACTTCAGTGAAAGTTGAGCATCCCTTTCGGTACTATAGGCATCAGCAATAACCGCTCTAACATTTGGTATTCCACCATTTGAAAGCATGGCATTCAAGAAGTCATTAGCATTCAACACATCATGACCTTCGTTGATGTATCTCCTTACATGGGCTTAGACAGTAGCCGCCTTTCTGTCGCAAGGACCTTTCCCTCCCTGGGGATCGCTGAAGTCAACCCTTCGTACTGCGATACCAG